TGCCGTGTGATGAGCGCGGACCCCCCCGGTGGCGGCGGCCGCGGGGCGCTCGGGCTCGCTGTGGGACCCCGCTGCGCCGGGCGCAGATAAGATGAGGAATTTGGGAGCATCTCGCAGCCGGCGCTCACACTTTCCAAGGAATGTTCCTGAAACAAAGACCCAAATTCCTACATCCTGATTCCTGTGGCTCCCAACAGTTGAATGCCAGCGGCCAAAGCGTCCTCAAATCCGTTGGTTTTGTGTGTCCCGGACAAGCATCCCGTCTAACTGTTGCAGTTTTGGATGCATTGAAATTGTGGGAGCTCACCTGATGCATTTGCCCTCTGTGCACCTGGCAGTGCAAAGCCAGCTCGTTAGCTGCTGCTTTGCACCCTCCTAAAGTGAGTGATCTTTGAGCTGATCTTTGCTCTCTTTCGAAGAAAAGAGAAATCCTGGCCAGACCCATTCCTGTAAAATAGCATCAGAACTGAGATGCAATATTGTGTGTACCATATATATTGCCGTATTTTGTGTACCACAGTGCCTCAAGGTAATCTTAAAGATTTTTTTTAATAAAATCATTGATTAAAGTCACTTACCAATCCCTAGTTGCACTATGGCATATTAATCACAATGTAAAAGAAGATTTTTCAATGAAGCCTGCTATAGGCATTGCAGAAGTGATTCAGAAAGGGTGTCACAAGTTCCTAGTGCTGCAGTTCTGGCTGTACCCAGCGAGAAGCAGAGGGACAGCGCTGTCTACAGTTCAGGGGCTGGATGCTGTCACCTACATCACTACAGTGGTTTTTTTTTGTGTGTGTGGTTTTTTTTTTTTGTGTGTGTTTGTTTGGTTTTTGTTGTTGTTGTTTTGAGGAGACATTTTCATCTGGAGGTGGTCTTTGAAGCAGGGTTAAGGAACCAAATTTCAGATCTCTAAAAAGAGCTTCAGTGTAGCAAAGCAGAATGTTGCATAATTCAGTGACAAAATTGCTCTGAGCAGACTTGTCGTGTCTCTTCCCAGATTTCTATACAGTGCCTTTAGCCCTCAAGTTGCAATTGCACAGCAGCTTAAAGCTGACATAAGTGAGGCTGCTACCAGAAGGGGTGTTCCTGCCTTGCTGTGCTTCCCACCTGCACTCCTGGGAGATGCAGGAAGAAGCTGTGGAATTAGCTAAAACCATCGGGGAACTGAGTGGAAAACTAACCCCCCAGCAGACGAATGGAGTGTCAGATTCCCACTCCCAGAGGGAACTGCCTGGGCAGTGATGTGAACCTGGTTCACATCACTGGTGAACCCTGGTGAAGGGTTCATTCTGCAGAAGCTCAGACTTCTCCAGCTTCCCATTGACACTCCTGCTTGCTCTCCCCTAGCCCTGCATAGTCCTGCTTCCTCCTCTACCCTCCCACGGGTGCAGCTGGGCAGTGAGCCTTATCAGGGAGCTGCTCCGGCAAGAACTTGTCATTTTTAGGTAGCTGATTTCCAGCTGCCTCAGCCCCTGGATGCAGCCCTTCTCAGGGACCTCTTCTGCTGACAGAAGAGAGGAGAAAGGATATGGCAGACAGGGCATAGCCACCACATGTGTCTGCACTCTTGCTCAGAATGACTGCACATCTGCAATCCCTGTTTTTCCCTCTCTCCACTTGTAGCAGTTTGATTCTGAGTTGTGTCTCTCTCTGCATGATAAGCATGCTAGCAAGTTCTTGGTCAGAAGAGGTGCTGAGAAGTCAAGAAGCATTTCTAAGGCACTTTCAAAAGCCCCTCTTTTTTCTAAGAAAAGCAAGTGAAATACTATTGTGGCTATTCAGAGGAACTCAAGCGCTAGCCTAGGCTTAGGACTGCGTGTTTGAGTGGAGGAACTCACTGCAGAAGGCAGCTGGCAGAGTGGTTGTAGAATTGTTTGCAGCTGCAGATCAATAACGGGGCAGGACACTTAAACAGGTCATAGTTTAAAGCTCATCCACCTCAGAAAGCCTGCTTGCCTGATGAGGGATCAGAGGGACTGTGCCAACACCTTGCCGGGGCTGAGCTGGGACAAGCTGCGCCGCCGAGTGCTGACTTGCGACTGGCACCATTTCCACGGGGGATGCCTGGCACGGTTTCTATCCTCTTGCTTAGAGAGCTGAAGGGGTTTGTGACGACTCATGGCTATTTCAAGGGTTGCCTTAAAAAGAAAAGTTAGAAATTGGCTCTGACATGTTTCCCCCAAACAACTCGTTGTAACCTTTTGTGGCTGAATCGCTTAAGAAGTGGTGTCTGAGCTGTCGATTCCTCAGCAGTGAGGGCAGGCAGCTGGTGGTGGTGGTGGTGGTGGTGGCAGGAGCGGCCATTCCCAGGCCACTATTTCTGTGTGTGAGTCAGATCCCTGCAGCTTCTAGTCATTTTTGCATGCTGATATAAAATACAGAGCCATTCACTTGTCAGATTATTCATCTTGATCTTGAATGCAGATTTGCTTCAAAGGTTGTTCACCCTGGCACCTCCGCATCAGAGTGGGCTGTCCAAAACAAATCTGTTTTCTCAATCTTGTGCTGTAGCCCAGTAGCTCGTAATGAGCGCAGAGTGTTCTTCCTGAAGTGCAGGAAGGCACTTGCTGGTTAAGCAAACCAGGCATATCTAGTTAGCAGAGAAGTGGGGAAATCTGTTTCTCTGATGGCTGGTTACAAGGAAGCGGAGGCAGGAGGCCAGCATTTGTGTTTTGGGCTCTGTCAAGATAAACTGCAGAGCCGCGCGCTCAGAAGCAAAATGTGTCAGCAGCTTGCCGAGCTAGTCTTAAATAACTTAATTGTTCTCCCGTAGACAACTTTGGAAGAAAACTCATGCTTCTGCAGTTGTGAAATGCTGAACACATATGCCCAATAACATTAAAAAAAAAAAAAGAATAAGGAAAAAGTCTACTGACCAAAGATTGGTCGTGTGCACAGGCTTCCTGGCTCAGTGAAGCCACCACTCAAATGGAAAAGAGCTGGACCATTGTGAAAGGTCTATTTGATAATCAGATTAATTTTCTTGAAAGCTTTTTCCCTTGCAAGCGAAAGGGAGTTTTTCTTCTGACTGGGTGTAGGTCAGAATTACAAGAATTAAGATAATTCTTTGAGACTGAAAACTCTGCTCGGGTGGAGAGGGAGCGGGTGTCTTTTTGCTCTATTCTCCCAGCAGAGCAGGAAAATACAGGGAATACATTTGCTATCGGCTCACCTGTTAGTGGAAAGACAGGACTCTTCTTCACTAACTCATA